CAATCAAAATTTTCCAAATGAGAGCATCCACATGAACAACCATGGCCAAGGCCTGTTCCACCCCAACCTGAAAGCGCAGCTTCCTCTCATCACTTTCTAAACCTAAGGTGACCTTGCAAGTTCTCCTTTTTCTGAGATTCTCAGCTTGCAAAATTCACTTGCTGAAATGCTGTTTGGGGTCAGTATCACACACGTGTCCCGTCTTCTGGCCTAGACAGTCAACACTTCGAGAGGAGGGACCACATCTGCTGGGGTGTGGTTTTGTGGCCTGGGAGACGACGGAGTCCATCAGTCCAGCTCATGAGCAGACTCTGATGAGCAGACGCTGCCCGGATAGAGGAGCAATGGGGCAAGACAGAAGGATGGGCGCTTCCTATACCCAAGCCTGCCATCCACCCTTACTAAGCATTCACACTCACCTAGAGAGACCACAGCTTTCCATCAAGCATGGCAGGGCAGGGTCCCCCTGTGCCTCCCCTCCACACCACAGTCCTGGAACATCATCCTTCTAGCTTCTTCGTGTCATCATCCCCTACTCGTCTAGAAATGCCCAAGTGTACTGCTTCTGAAGAGTTAAAACAGAAACCTCACACTGCGTATTGTTCAGGGAACAGCAGGAGGAGCTGTTCATGTTTGGACAAGACGGGGGAAGCCAGCATCTCCCTTTAGGCAGGAAACATAGCAAGAGGGCAGGTTTTTATTCCTGGGGCCTTAAGGAGCTTGACGAGTGGGGCAACACCAAAAACGATCCAAAGAAAGCCTGGTTTAATCCGAGTGAAACCTACTGGTCCCAAACACAGCACTTTCCAATAGTTTCCAGTTAGATTTCATGACCCACAACTGTGACAGAAAAGTTTAAGACAGCTATTTATCCTAAAAGCAATGTAATTTAAACCCCTCGGTTTCGAGAATTTTGAGTTGTGTTGTTTTGAAGACTTCTGCCAAGAGGCTCGGGATGGCTTATGGCTGCCTCTTCAAGGCAGTGCTTTTTTTCTCTCTTTAGGCAGTGAGAGGAAGACAACACTACAACAGGAGCCGTAGGTGAACTCTGCATACCAAGGCGTCTGGGAACAAGCAGCAGTGTGGAAATCAAATAAAACTTACTCCGGAGATGCACCCAGAGATACGGCATCAACACTGCACCAAACGGCAAGGCGTGCTGGAAGTCAGACTGCCACCTCCCCCGTGCCATGGGCGAGGAGCTGACCTTGGCCTCAAACCCAGCATCTTCTCTCCTCCCTCCTGCCTGCCTCTCACACTAGTAGTTACCTCTCACCTCTCCCCCTTAGCACAATGCTAAGCTGCTAAACTCCGTAAACATACGAACACAGTTAACCAGCCACCCAGGGCTAAACTCCACCTGGCCCAGGAAGCAGGCATTATCCCTCACCACAGATGAGCAGACTGGGTTTAGAGAGGTGAACGGGTTTGCCCAAGGTGACATGGCCAGTGAGGGCAGAACTGGGATTCATGATCAGGTTCCAGAGCCTGTCCTCGCGTGCACCTTACATTTATAACACCTTACATGATAAATTACATAATTCCTACCTGGCCTCCCATGGTGCACTTTGGTGACTCTCAGGCTTATTTTATATTCCTGTGGAGAACCTACCCATGAAGGCGGGAAATATATCTTTCTTGTCCTAAAATTAATATGGACCACACTCAGTGATCTCCAAAGATTTTGCTCGAGTACCCTCTAAAACAGGGTGTTAAATTCATGTTCACTGGAAGCCACATTAGCCTGTGGTTGCCTTCGAAGGGCTGAAGGTAATTTTAGGACTGTATAAATGTAACTACTCCTTAACTGTCAAGGAGCTGAAATTACATTCAGCCCTTTGAAGGCAACCGAGGCTGATGTGGCCCCCAGTGCAAATAAGTTTGACACCCCTGCTCTAAAAGAACTGGAAAAACAATAAACGCTCTCTGTATTGGTCAGCTCAGGCTAACGTAATGAAGTAACACAGGCTAGGTGGCTTAAACAACAGAAATTTATTTTTTCACAGTTCTGAGGCTGGAAGTCTGAAATCAGGATGCCAGTATGGTTCGGTTCCAATGAGAACGCTCGGCCTGTGGACAGCTGTCTTCCCGCTCTATCCTCATATGACCTTTCCTGGGGGGTGTGTGAGGGGGGGTTCCAGAGAGAGATATTCTCTCTTCCTCTTCTGATAAAGGCACTAATCTAAGCCTGAGGGCCCCACCCTCATGACTTCATCTAACCTTCATTCCTCCCAAAGACCTCATTCCCAAATATTATCACATTGGCGGTTAGACTACTTAGTGATTTTGGAGATGGAGTGGGGGGAGGGGGCGGTTGTCACAAACATTCAGTCCACACCACTCAGTTTTACGTTATCTTCCATGTGTCATTGTAACTTTAAATAACTGCAAAAGATATCATTTCCGTTGTGTTTGTAAATGTTATTTTTATAGTAAAATTCTTAAACCACTCTTTTAAATGTATCAAGTGTAACATAAACACCAGAGCAATTTGAAAACCACCATCATTCATTTAGTAATTACATGAGCACATTTCCCACAGTGTGAAAATTTTATATAATTTTTTTCAAGACTGTATTTCCATTCTATCCCAATACACTTTTACACTCAAAAATATTTAATTACCTTATCCTATTTCTCTGAAAGAGATATTGTGAATAATTGAAATTTAATATTTTACACTTTACTCCAAGTATTTTAAAAATCCTTTCTGAATCATCACAATTATTGCTGTAATAATTTATACTAAAATATATTATAAAATTTGACAACAACTAAGAGTAATTTTATTGCAAATGCGTCTTTAAGAAGATGGACTGGAGGCGGGTACATATCGACTTGAGAGGCCATTTCCCTGACATGCTATTCCAACATTCCTCCCCCCCCCCCCCAGAGACCTTTGCGGATGGAACAGGTCACCCTAGTACATTCCTGGCTCTGGTTGAGCAGGGGAAGGCCGGCAGTGCAAGACTAATAGGGCACCAGGCCTGAGCCACAGTGGGTTCTCAGACAATCAAGTTTTGGAGGGATGATGTTCTGGGCAGTCAAGGACTCCTGCAGAAGGCCCCTCCAATGCTCCCCCTCTTCATTGGCTGCTCTGAAAACCGAGCCCTCAAAAGCAGGCTTGCTCCCCCTCTGCGCTCCAGACAAGATTCCTTTCAATATACTTACCCCAAGTTGAAGTTCTCACGGGCTGGTAAAAGCAGTGAGCTTATTTGCAAGCCAGGGTCATATCTGCCTGGCAACCCAACATGAAGACTAGAAGGACTATAAATGTTGACAGAGAACAGGCAGGCCAGCTTTGCACAAAAGAATCTGTTTTCATGCAAATGACCCTAAGCAAGATGCCTAGAAAAGAGAGCAATGGGGATGGTTCTCACAGCCGCTGATTTCCAGAGAAGATGCTGAAGGACTTTTTAAGGGCGTCACTACAGCCTTGCCTACTGTAAAAGAAGGGACCCAACAGGAGAGACTGAGAAGGAAGATGAAACCCTTTCCTTAACTTCCTAATTTTTCTGGTTCTGTACTCCCAACTCCAAAGGTTCCTTTGTTCGCCTTTCGAACTAAACAAGTTAGTTTTGTTTGGGGGTGAGGAGGGTGATCACCATGGCAATGCAGTGCTTTCCCCTTCTTTGGGTTCCCAGGAGTGAAGTAAGCAGGGTGTTCCTGCTTGGTCTCACTAGGACTGAGGGAACGGGGTGAAGGTGGCCTCTAACCAGACAGGCAAAAGTCACTGTTGTGCAGCTGGCAAGGCAGGGTTTCCCAGCCTACTCGCTGTTTTCCAGACACTAGTGGCAGATGTACTCTAGATGAACTCTGCTTGCGGAGCGGGCCAGTGTGTCTACCAGTGTGGCAACCCCGGGCAAATGCCTCCAGTGCTCTGTGCCTCAGCAGTTCTTGCCCATAAAATGGGGGTGAGTGTCAGCTGCCTGGGTCTGATGATGGGGTTAAAACTAAGTTGGGAACAGAGCAAACCTGTAAAAACTCTAATGAAAAGGACAGTGATACTGCGTTATTGTTGTTATATTATTACGGTTCTGTCACTCCAACAGCCAGCTGCTTCACATGGTAAAATTCTCAGAAGTGACTTTCCCCTCCAGGGGGGAGTCATTCATTCGCCTCTCGAGCTCTCAGCCATTTTTCCTCTAATATTTATAATCCAGAAACAGAGGCACCAAGACCTCTCTTCACCTGCTCGGACTCACTGGGTTCTCACTGCTGGTCCGCACTACCAGGTTCTTAAGCAACACTCAAATATACCAGTACTGTGCCATATTAAATATGGTGTTTCCATACTGAATGCAGTGATGGGTCCTAATGCTCTGTAAGATCCTAAATGTCGAAGATTACACTACAGTCTGTCCACTCGGGGTTTGCATTTTAGGGATTACAATCAGTTTCCACATATCATTATGTGTGGATTCTTCACAAAACAACTCGGGGGAAAAATATCGCTTTCAGGGTAAGTGAGGAGTCAGCCACAAATAATAAAACAGTAAGAACTAATGGGTACTGAGGGCTTGCTGTAGATACTTTGATCTGAACTGTACGAGCATCATAAATGAAACCTTTCCATTCTGGTAGCACCACCATTGTCCCCCTTTTACAGATTGGGAAGTTGGCGCTCTACAAAGTTGAATTACTCCCACCCATCTCGGAAGGCTGCGAAGCTAATCAGTGTCCCCTGGCTGTACGGGGCTGGCCTTGAGGCAGCACTTTACACCAGCATACCTGCCCCCACCTAGTCCACGCCGGACCTTAGTAACAGCTAAATTTAACCCAGTAGACACGACCCCCAAATCCTGAGGAAGATCGGGCAGCGAGCAAAGTGAGGTTTCTATTGAAATTCGGATTGCCCACTCCTCCCGGTGGCGACCTCCCCGTGCGTGCACTCGTAGAATGGGGTCTCTCCAGTTTGACATCAGAACAATATCCGAACCCCAATGAAGAGAGTAGCCCATGCCAAGTCGACAGGGGAATACGGAGAATAAGGTCTTTACCTCCGAGCAAGTCCCAAACGGACATGGGGTGGGCACTGGAAAACAGTCTGCGTCCCTGCAGGCTCCGAAACCCCCGGAATCGGACACACCGCTTTGTCCAAAGGACCGTTGGTAACTGAGGTTTCCCCCGTACATGATCTTCGGAATTCAAGGTGCCCTTGGGATCGAGAACTTCGGATGAGGGGCACGTACTCCCTAAACGACCGGGTCCCTCGTTACAAGAGGCTCCCTGTGGGCTAGGCAGCCACACACCTGTGTGGACTTCGGCTTCCGCCGGGGGAGGACGGTACGCGTGCGCCCCCGGCAGGGGATGCTGACTCAGCCCCGCCGCTCACATCCCTTCGCTCAACACGGATGCTGCAACTGCAGAAAAAAGGGGGGAAGCTGGACACCCTTAGCAGCCCGGCCGCCAGCTCCCTGGGGCCACTGCGACACTTGTTTCCGCCCTCCCGGAACGGGAACTGTAAGGGTGCACGAGTTAACGAAACTGGGGGGAAGTGGGCCCCGGAGGAGGAACTTGGGGACCGCGGCGCCGCGCGCGCAGCTCGCACTCAAACTGGAAAGAACCTGTTCTGTCCGCGGAGCCGCTACAGCCGCACGCGCTGCGAGGGACTATCCCCAGGGCCCCTCATCCACACCCCCAAATTCTCAGGATGCGGGTGGGACTGAGCGCGCTAGGGCTGCAAAAAGGAAGACAGGCAGAGGACCCTGCGCGGTTTCGTCTGGGAGTGTTCGGCGAAAGAGTGCAGACGCCCCCCAAACAAGTCCGCTTTCCCCACTTGCGGCAGAACGCCGGGGGTCTGACCGGGCCAGGCGCGCAAAGCCCCGCCGGGTTCCGGCGACGCGCCCAGGACCCGGGAAGCGTTGGCGGGAGCTGCTCCGCGCGGGACGGCGACGCTGTTACCTTCCGTGACCCCCAGCTTGGCTCAGAACGGGCGCGCGCCCGGTGCGGACCGGGTACACGTGGGCCAGCGCGCGCGCTCCTGGCAGGCCCCCTCCTCCGCGGCGCTCGCGGCGCTCGCAGCACATGGTCGGCGGCGGCGCGCCCCCGAGGCCGGCAGAGACCGGCTGCAGCCGGTATAGGATCAGAGAGAGGCAGCGACACGGGGCCGGGAGACGGGCAGCAGCACGCACGACCCGGGCGCAGGCGGGTGGGGGGCGGGGGGAGGGTGCGGCCGGGGTGCCCCAGGCGCGGGAATAGGTGGGGGGCCTGGGCGGGGCGCTGCAGGCGGGCGCCGGTGACACCCTCCTGAACCAACTTGCGATAGGCTCAGGCCCACGCCCTAAGGAGTTAAACCTTTCTCATGTTACCCAGCGGCTTATAAGGAGGGGAGGCCGAGCCTACGCCTTATTGGGAGCCTTTTGGGGTTTATTCTCTGCCCTTCTAACTTGGTGAGTTGGTTTTATTATTTTACGTGTTTCAAACTTTGATTATGGGGTGTGGGTTTTTATTTTAATGTGTGAGGAGCTTTTTTGCTTGGTGGGTTGTGGGAGGCGGAGGAGAGCACTTAACATTTTGGAGAGGTTATTCTGAAAAATATTCTCTGACAGTTGGGAACGCTCGGGGCCACTGGGATGAAGCGCTCTCGTCAGTGTGGGCAACTGAGAGTTGAATGATCTTGACCCTGGTACAGTTGTGTCCAGAAAATACCTAAAGTCAGGCTTGGCCTTTGAGTGTGTCTAGTTCGGGATTAGGTGCTCCAGACCCCGGGGCTAGTCGGGGACGCGGGGTTCGGCGCCTGCACGGATTTTCCGCCTGGAGTTGCCTGCGCGTCCCAAGTGCCAAACGTCAGAGGTACCTTCCCTAGGCTCGCGCGCACACGCGGGTTGGCCACTGAGGCTGTGAGAGGGAAAGTGGGGTTCCATGTATCTCTCACCCAGAGTTCGCAACCAGGGCGTCAGAGTGACCCCCCTCCCCCGGGGGAAAACAGGCATTTCCCTGCAGAGCGCAGGTCCTGCACCTTAATGGTCAGGGCTGTCAGCGGCTGAAGCCTGCTCCGCTCAACTTCTAAGGTTCCCCGAGCTGCCAACCGCAGGAAAGCGCCCCTGAAGCTGAGCAGTTCTGTATGTAGCAAGGAAGGATGATTTTACAGAGGAAATGGGTTGTTTCCTTCTCGGTTTTTTCTTCTAAAAAAAAAGAAAGAAAGAAAGAAAACAACTAACTAAACCTCCACCAACCCCAAGTTTGTGAGGTGGCTTTTTAAAAACTGTCACCAAATACAGGAGTGTTAGAAAAAAGCTCCCCAAAGCCAACTGGGGAAGAGCAATTGCAATTTATCAATCTGGAAGCTAGTTTTGTTTGCACTGCTAGGCGCTCCGTGTCGGCTCTTTCTCGAAAGAGATGGTTTCTGTCCTGGAGAAGGACATTTCTCAGCAATCTTACTGGTGTGCAAATCTTAATAAAAAAAAAAAGTGATTTGTTTGCAAAAAATACCAAGTGCTTATGCGGAAATCTCTAAGTGATGCATCTCCCCATGTCCCAAGCACAATTAAAAGGCATTTTGGGGGGGTCAACAGTACATTCTGCCTAGCGGATACAGAAATATCTCTTCTCATAATGAAGGGAAGGGGGGCCAAGGTAGAGAGTTACAGTACGTAAGGAAACAATGTAGCCAAGTGGGAAAGTTCCCCCTGCCTTAATGAGCACACTAACCCTGAGCTTTACTTCTGTGGTTTCCCAAGGAGGACTTTCCTCAGTGGAACTCCTGAGGAGGACACTCAAATTAGGGGCTCGGGTTTCAACATCATGGTCTGGTAAAATGGGCGAACCGGTTGTATCCAGTGATTCCAAGCTGCTGAGGCAGCTGTACAGGTTAGGTTTGGGGCGGGGTGGGGGCATTAAATAGAGAATTCAAATGAACTTCACTTAAATAGAGACTGATTTTGACAAATGGGGCCTGAAACAACTTGTAGAAAGCTTACCAGGCTACTACGCCTTTAAGAGGAATGGATACTGGCAATGAATTCATTGCCTAGGCTTTGCTTGTACCAGCAGCTACCAGCATTTCTGTCCAAAGCTTGCATTTTGAACTATACTCTGAACTGACCCTGGACTCACAGTCTGATGGTCTATAATAACCCAATATTTTATAATCTCCACGCCCCCAGGTCAAATATTTTCTCAACCAATCAAATCACAGTGAAATTCCCAGGCACAGCAGCTCAGCAAGCTTTGGCAGAATACGCATTTATTTTAGGTTAAGACAACCGAATGCTCATAGGATGTACTCCAAACTGCCGAGTGTTTTTGGTTATCCTTCCTTTGGAAGAGCATTAGGGTGAAGACAAGACGGCAGCTAGGAACCCACATTCAGAATCATAGAGTGTTCAAGAAACTGCCTGCCTGCCATGTCTAACCCTTGCTTCGCAGATGATGGGATTTAGGGACCAAGTGATTTCCTGGAGATTGTAAACAACTTTACAGATAATGCTGATCGGCTTCAGAAAGACAAACCCACGTGAGGGCTTTATGTCAGAGGACCCAACAGGGGTCAAAAAAATTAAAGGATAGCTTAGAGCAAGTCAGGGTCAAAGCATATGAGAATTACAGCTGCTGTGGGCAGAAAGAGATCTGAGGTCATCGGCATCTAGTCCATCTGCATTGTTTACCTATTGAGGACACTGACCATCCAGGAGCAAAGCGATTCACCCAAAACGAGTCACTCATTGGCCTCACCAGTTAGTTCCCCACATAGTAAACTGATACCCCTTTTCATCAGATAAGTTTACATGACTGTAAAAGCAAAATGGACAGATATTTCCTTATTCCAGACTCTATAGAGGCTTTTCTAAGTAACCAAGTTCAAAATTCAGACCTTAGTTTCTTGCTTTGTAGAATAGAGTCCAACAGTTTGAGCCAGGTGGCTTGCTTAATGAATAGAAAAAAGGAAAGGAGACCAGTCCAGAAAAGCATTTATTCTGCAGTCAGGGACTTCCTCACTCGACTCTTTTCTAAGCACAGAGCAGTGCATTGCGCAGGAGCACCCCAAGACTCATCATTTGCTTAGTGAACTTAGCAGGTGCCCAGCAGGTGCCACGTGTGCTGCCAAGGCAGTGGGTCTGGACAGAGCTGCTACCCACCCTGTAGGTGCCGGCCTTGTGTGGTCAGACACGCAAAGTATAGAAATTAGTTTCCAGTGTGTTTTGGAAACCAGGTGATCCTATTATCGTTCTATCCTGTGGTCTTATCTTCAAAGCTAAATTTAGTAGGACGTAAGATGCTTTCAGAAGATAAAGTCATAAGCTTTAAAGTAGGGCTGGGTTCGGCAGGGGGTTCATCTTTGCTTTATGGTATTCTCTGTAATAACAAGAAGATTTCTGTCCTCCAAAAACCTAAGAGTGCCGGTGAAAATTACATTTGGATCTAGCTTCAGGGGCATAACCCAGAGGCAAAGCAAAATTTTAAACAAAAGGAGTTGTATGCACTGGTGGGGGCCAGGAAGGAAACAAATAGAGCGATACAAAGGCTGCCATCTTCCGATTAGCTGATCGGGTCTCGCCAAGGTCCAGCTGCCTTTCACCCACCTTCCCAAGAACCATGTAGCATGTACACCTTCTTCCCAGCTCCCTGGTCTCCTTGGGCTGCCAGCTCTGGCCTGAGGAATCAGGTGAGCTATAAAACTCTGTGCCGAATACGGAATAGTCAGAGACAACCACTGTTAAAGGTGGGTGGAGCCTCAAAGATTCTCCAGAAAATCTGTGACTAATGACTAATGAGGAGCTCAGGCCCAGACAGGTGCAGTGACTTTCACAAGGTCACACAGGTAGCTGGAGAATCCGGTCATGGACCCCTCTCTTTATGTACAGAAGCCAAGAGAGCTTTTATTTTGAAGGAAAAAAATCTTTTTCTCACAATCGATATATAAAAGGTCCCCCTCCCTGGGGGCTGATAACAGCAGGGCCCGGGAGGCAGGAGATTCGGTTCTAGAACATTTTGGTCAAGTCCCTTCACCTTTATGGGGCTCAGTTTTCCCATTTTTCAGAATGAGCCGCATTGGACAAAGAAATGGACAAGATGAGGTCCAAATTCCCATTCAGCTCCAACATTCTGTAATTCCAAGTCCATTCTGGGGCTACAGGTGAACCCTAAGGCCACCGATTATGCACGTGAGAACCACTGTCAGGACAGGCAGAGGAGGAGGGATGGGCGCCCCTCACCAGAGCTGCACTGGTGGCCTGACTCTGAGCCTTCTGATGATGGGCAGATAGACACAGCCTCGTACAAAGAGCACGGTCTAGTCCTGCTCGTCACGGAAGGCTAGATGGGCGCCAACAAAAAGACTCTGTCTTCATCCTGCAGTGATTTTAGGCCAAAGAGAGATTCCATTTGTCTCTTTGGGACATCATGAATTTTATCCCAGTATTTTGTCTTTAGCCCAAAATGCTTATATTCAGGTTAGTCCTGAGCCCTCTGTTAAGACCCTGAGATCTTATGCACACCCTTCTAGGTTAGAATGATCATGGCAACATGGCCTTGGACAGTTCTGCTCGCCTGAGTGTGCTGAACTCTCGAAGGATGTGGCAGAACAGTTTTAAATAATGCATCTCAGTCTTCACATTTCTTATATCCGTCAACAAACATTGAAGTCCAAAAAGGC